GAAGGGCCTGCAACATCCACGGCGGCGGCGGCCATGACTGTGGCCGTGGCCGTGGCCCTGCTTCCCCTTTTCCTTCTTTCTTCAGCCGCCGCTCATATCCTGTATATGGGTCTTAGCTGCCATCACAATTTCTCTCGTTCCCTTCCATGTTCAGACATATATCGTTCCTCATTCCCTCGTTCTTCACATTTCTATTTGAACATGCCTCTAGAACGCACTCCGAAGCGTAATGCGCGTGCGCATGTCCCAGCCACTCCGCGGGGCAGGGGTGTTGCGCGCTGAGGCCGGGGTCTGTTTCCCACTCCGGCTCATCGCAGTCAGGCGCTGGCGCGTATGGGAAAGGGCCACAAGTCGTGAGGCCGATATTATGAGCATTGGGGTTTAGTTTTGATTCTGAAGTAGGATAATCGTTGAGGTAATCCCTATACATCTGGCTTTGTCGACGAAGCTGGCTGCAGGCACGCATACAAGTGCTCCTCTGCTTCAGAGTTTTGATGCCAAGTCTATCGCGTAGCTCTGGCTCATCGGGGTATGTGAAAATCGTATGGCTATCGGCTCGTTGTTTGCGTAGACAAGCCTTGAGCAGCTCGGAAGAAGGAAGCTCTAGGGAAGAAATGCGAATCCAAGTGTGATTTGAGAAACAAGTTTCTTGTATTACCTTCTCAACGCCCCAGTTCCAAGGGTTGTCCATCTTGTGAGCTGCTGATAATTAGCAACCGATAAGTCCGGTAGATCGGTCTTTCTAGAATGCAGACTAGTGATGTGAAAGCACGAACGGCAGATCGTAGGCAAGGATCGTGACTCGCTCTACAGGGTGGTCAAAAAGTGGCGAGGGTAAGGAATACGCCATATACTACTTGCTAGATAAGACGCTCATGAAAAGTAGAAAGGTCATAGTAGAGAGACTTGAGAAGCTTCGAGAAGGTTGATGCGTCGAGATCACGGCCAAGATGGAAAAGTTGTTCCTGGGAAAGTGCAGGCAAACAGAGTGGGCGTTTTCCTGCGGCAACTCATCTCATGGGAAAAGAACCCCTCGTGTGAATTTGGATAGTTTGGTAGGTCGTGGTAACCATGGTGAATGTAAATATCCTTCCTCCCAAGGTGACTTGAGAAGAGCGTGACCACACATGAAATATACTCCGCCCGGCATCTGCCTGTCGCATTACAAGCTGAAGTACAAAGTCGATGGCTCTATAATACGAACTCCCCATGGCGTAATAGCAATAGTAATGATAGAGCAGATAGATAATATACTACGATATGTTGCAGAACTATTATTGAAGGTCAGGAAATACTAGTAACTATTCACTTTAGACTAGAAGGTGAAGTACTTTATATAGTTACAATGCATATGGTGCGTGTATAGGACTGAGCTGACCCCTCTTACTACTAACTATTGTTGGATTTTAGCATATTTAGCTGTAGGCAGCGCTCTTGCCACGCGTTGTTATAGTTTATATATCGCCAAGCTTTTTCTTTTTACAGACCTACCTAACCTAGGTATGTAGTAAAACGATGTATGATAGGATGAACCCTGATATGACGATGCCCTTTGCGCATGATAAGTTATACAACTACGTGTATATGTGTGCTCGGAAGTTAACCTCAATCGATTGAGGCGCACCGAGCCACAGGCAAGGAAACCTCCCGGAATCTATGCCGGGCGGGATCACGGCGTTTAAATGAAGGACGTGGCGTCGGATATACTATGTACACATGTATGACGGCCGTGTTTGCTTATTGAGAATTTCAATACGTTTCACCTCTTCGCCTATGTAGTCCTACCAGAGCCTACGAATACGGCTTCTCTACTGTAGCTGTATTTCTAGGCTACTGCACAATGGTAAATTTGTTGCTTGATCGACTGCCTTACATACGCTTACACGGTTTTTTCAAGATTGCGAACGGGCGCAATAGTCCCAAAATAGTAATAACCTTAACTCAAGATATGAAATGCAAGGTTCGGAGGGAGAGACGTCCGGTGTGGTAATCTCTGGCGACGGCGCACATGAAGCGTGTCATCCGCATCCTCCGGGCCATTTGCTTGCTGTTTTGCGCGTTCTTCGTAAGCCCTTTGCCAGTTGGTGTCCAACCTTCACGGGTTGTCCTGGTCTGGGCGGGTCTGTTCATTTCCCGAACCAGCCACGCTGAGTGTCAATTCGTCAGCGCGTCTTCAGTCGCCAATCCAACTATCGCATTCCCGCACAGATATTCCCAATGGTTTATCTATTTCAAGGCACAGAAAATTTTTATTCCAGATCCCTCGAGGACTCGGCGGCTTTGCGACCTGCCTCGGAGGATCGTCTGACAGTTAGGACAATCGTTATTACAGGGGCGAGTAAAGGGGGAACAACCACAATTTAGGGTAGAACAGAGGTCAGACTAATAACATTAATATAGCTGACCCCGGCGTCCTATTGGCCATGATCCCTGTTTCGGCGTGCCAAATTTACCTAGTTAGGCACGTTAGGTATCAAACACCAGCCCAATTTAGTAGGTTCATATTGAGTTTTGGAGGCCCCGAGCCTTGAACATTGACTTAAAACCAGCCGAAGTGGCTGTTTAAGCCGTCATAATGGTAATTCATTGGCGAACGCGCTCTACAATCTTCCTCTCGACATGCCGCACTCGTCGTCAGGCATGGCCCGACCGTCCAGCGTCGATCTGGAGACGGCTGCGCTCTCCGTCGTCCACCTGATGCGATGTGTGGCTGAGCTAGCCAACGTCCGACTTGCCCTTGTGGGTGATTTAGCTGTTATGAAGTACCTATCACGACCCGGACCTTGCGAGGTAAGTCGGAAGACCGGCCAGTTTCAATAAGGCGCTGAATACTAATTGAGTCCCCTAGAGTATTGAGTTCATTATCAACAAGGCATCACCAGGTTCCGTGAAGAAGATACTTCTCTCTCATCCTCACGGAAAAAAGACTATCGTCGAGAAAGGCCAGGCCATATTCTACAGGCATCCAGCTGGTTGGGCAATCGAATTGAAAATTACTCCTGAGTGGCTTTGTCCTTACTTTCCCAACTCAGCTCAGCTGGTTAGAGATATCGAACAGTTGCCATATATCTCCCTTCCAGACCTTGTTGTCTTCAAGGCTGACGCCTGTGGCCTGCATGAATCGGATGGCAGCAAGTACAGAGAAGTGGCGGACGCTTGTGCGCTTCTAGAGCTTGCTTCGGAGCACTTCCCCTTGAAACTCGAGGAGGAGAAGCTGCAGAAGATAGAAGAGGCCCTCGATACCCTCGTTGAGTATTCGCCGCCTGGGAAAGATAGGAGGTGGTGGGAGAGAAGATTAGGCAAACAAGGCGATAAGCGACGCTCGGCCCAGGATATCCTCTCGGAGCTTGGCGAAGGACTGCGCCTCGAAGAAGAGAACCGGCGAGCATCGAGACGGTCCAGCGTCTTCTCCCTCAATAACACTCGGGGCTCCGATACGTCCATCGGTTCTACCTCTTCCACATCGTCGCAGAGCACCACACCCCTGTCCTCCCCACCACCTAAGATGCGGCCGAGAAAGATGAGCATAAGCGGATCGTACCCGCGACCGCGTAGACACACACAGACAACTGCAGACCAACCTCCGTTATCTCCACTAGAAAAGAATCACCAAGAGATACATCGGCTGTATGCCGCGTCGATTGATATGCGTGGACGAAGCTCGCCAGGCATATCCTTAATAAGGCTTTCGGGGATGGGAAAATGAGAGCGGGATCTGTAGTGCTGGTTTATGAGGTTTAGAGAAAAAGTTTTTGCGTTTTGTATACCCCCATAGAATATTGATTTAGATGTTGATCAGATTAGATTAATGAAGGATCAGTCCCCAGCCATATTGCATGCACGACATTGAGACTAAAGCTACATACCCGCCCAGGTAGTCGTAATGATTGAAGTCGGTCTGGATGAGTTGAGTTTGCAAGAGCACTCTGACATCAGGGATAAATTCATAGAGTGGAAAGTTACTACTATATGTGCATGGCCCGCAGGTAATAGCTTTGGTATCACCATATCAACGAGGCGATTAGCAAAGGCCTGCCTCTCCCGAAAGGTTCCTTATTCAACACCCTGCGAACTTCACTTATTCACTCACAAACCCTTTAATGAGTATCCCTAACACTTCAATCACGCAGGTTCCTAGTCATGTCTTGCATAGAGCTTAGCAGTCCGCTCATGGCTCTCGGAATGCAACCTAGAGTGCTGCTGTATCTACAGCCACTCACTGCTTTTATTGCTTGGAGGTAGTACTTTCAATGCAAGGCTATCTATACGCTGTTGACACAACGTCTTCGAGAATATAGGGTCTTCTCCTCTTCGGCAAAGCCGCTTTACCAGGGAATTAAAACACTACTAACTCCTCAGAAATAATAATTCTCTCCCTGGGATACATAGCTGTACTCTCCCTAACATCGGGCCTAATACAGTGACTTAGCTATCTCTATGAATCTATCCTTGAACGCAACCTTGAATTCACTATTCCCCGAAATGGATCTCACAGTCACACTTTGATACGTAATATCATATAAAAAACTTTAGTCTCAAGACTCCGACTCCGAATCGTAGTAGTCGTCTCTGAACTTTATGGTGCTGGAGCGTGCTAACAATAGGTATAAGCAATAAAATTCCTTATTTCGATGCTCTATCACTGTAACCCTCTTTGTACATGCCATTGGTCTCTTTCTCACTACTTTCATCTTTCTACCTTCACTCGATGTGTGCTGTTACCTTATTATGTTTGACTTGCTGAACTTTTATATATGCAAATTGATACTTTAATGGCTAACCATCAGCGGATGTCATGCGAGGTATCCCATAGACACTGCATATAGACTCATGCACGTGCTTCAGATCTGTCTCTAGTTCCGTATACTGCATTCGACGCCGGGAAACCACACTGGACCCCATACATTCCTCCCTGAAAGTCTATTTAACATTCACCTGTCTGGCGACAGTACCACAGCGTTTACAGAGCGTTATATACCTAGCTTCAGAAAGCTCACGATGCCCATTTAGAGCAGTGGTTAGCTCGCTCGTCTCCGACGCGCACAGGCTGGATAGCGAGAAGGCAGGGGTTCGAATCCCCTAATGGGTGGTGATTCCTTTCTATCTTCTAGAAATTACATTATATGTTATTTTCTATAGTCATGTTTTTGTTGGCCGCTATCGCAAGGGCCGAGTACAAGGCCTGTAGAGGTGACGATACGAAAATAATATTCTATGACTGTATGGGTCTTTGCCCATCCCGAAGACTCTCCTAGCCTTCTGGAGGCCAGTCTATATGTCAGCATTTCTATCGGCCTTATGTCCTTCGTTTCGGCGTTTAGCTAATCTCAGAAGTCGGAATAGCCTCATTTATTTCACACCCGAAGTCTATGCAATACGGCTTTACACCTCATTATGATGTGAAATACGAATACGAAGGACTATTGCAGTTCACGGGCCCCAGCATAGGTAGCCTACCGTATGCTTGTGGGCTCCCTTACAATAGTCGTTCTTTTGCCTAATTGCTTCTAGACGCAATTATTACCTTATCTGCCCTGTCCATTATATCATCGTAATACCTGTAACTCAGATAAGATCTCATGGTTCCATATCAGTGATATTTTATAATTCTCATGAGAACCTTTTTCATAAAGGGAGGACATTCTGGTGCGTGATTGCGTTGACTGTTACTACTCTTATAATATTATTTCAACACCTCCCTTCATTGAATAGGTTAACTTTTATAATTAGGGCTTTGCGCAACATTGCCGAACCTCAACTGGTTCTTTATAAATCAGGAAGGATAGTTGAAATTTGATAGTAGCTTTGCCCCACTACGTACATAGCAGCGATACTCTAGGCTTGTTTCGATGCTATATACGCGCGCTTAGTAACTGGTTTTAATATATTCAACCCTGTACACAACACGTCCGCCAAACAGCGTATATCCCGGTACTCAACAGCCTTAAGTCACATATTTATAATAGCTATCTACCGCATACCAGATATCAGTTACTAATACTAATCCTTGTTGAGGCGACTTATAAAACCTGCGATATGATAGATAGCGTCCTTTTTGCCGCCACTAACCCCCAACCAGCAGCTGTCGGCATGATAACAAGCTACCTGACAGCGGTATTTCGTCATTGGTGAATACAGCAAGTAATACTAAGGTACTACGGGACGTTCCGCCACCGCGGTTGGCTGCCTTAGCTCAAGCAACTAATATTAACGTAGTTCGTTATCATTTTTTGAGGGTGTGGCTAAAATTGGTATCATTTGGGAATTGCGCGATTCGTCAGGAAATGGCGCGGGATCTAGTAGCAGGCACCTTCGTGCGGTATTTATTTCGTATTCACCGTTCTAGCAGGAAGTTCACCGAATGCTGCCATATAGAAGTCTGGTACTCTGGTGTGTAAAGCTGAGAAATAGCTTCAAGGTATTCTATAGAAAACTGGCTGCCCTCACCACCTTGGTAGTATTATCCTGGCACCGTTATTTTACTAGAAGATTAAGGGCTTCTATATTATTGAGAGAGAACACCGTTACTAAATTCTAGGCCTCTCACTCAACAATTCATAGTATAAATAGACTTCGTAGACAGATCTTGGTCGCTAGCTTGTCGGATTTGTATCCGTTGATAAATGAGTGGGATTTGGTATATAATATCTAAAGCGTCATATCACAAGACTATACCCATAGCCTACCGTTGGCGACGTCGTGTAACATTATTAATCTCCAATATTCCGTCAATCAGAGATCTTCAGTACTTATATCCTTAAGAGTGATTCGGAGATTTACCCTGAAGCGGCCTAGAGGCCGTTGTGTAACGTAGATATTAGCCGAGAAATGGAGCTGTAGACGGGAATCAGGGGGCCCCGGTGACTGATCCGAATTATGTGATATTTTGAGTGGATGAAGAAAGGTCGAACTAGTAGCCTTACCATTACGCTGGGATGAGGGCCGGTGGCTTGATGTTATTTTATATCCTATTATAGACTGAGCGATAATTAGTATATAGTGCGGCTGTTCCCGTGGGATGCCTAGATGGTGCGCGAGCAACCTCAGGCAAAATAGAGCCGGTTGCATATGCATGCGCGATGACGAGCACAGTATGTCATATGTCTTAGATGTTAGCCATGAAAAATGGTGTTGAGACAAGTGTGGCTGCAGCATAGACCGAACATAGTGTGCGCTTGGAAGACCGCATCCTATTATCTGTTTCATACTAAAGCTTGACCAATGACTGAGAAGATCACGTGGGAAAATAGACATACTCGTCTCATGACTTGTTTATACAGATGGAATTGTTGTGTATTGCTATTCACTTTAGCCGCTATAAAACTACTTCGATTTTGATTTGACAGGCCTGTAAGGCTGAAAGATGACGCTAGAAAGGGGTTGCTGACACAGCTCCAAGAACGAACAAGAGTAGTAGATAACGTCAACTTTAACTTCAAAGGACATAAAGCCCGAGAGGCAGGCCACTAATCGTATTGCTAGCATTCGATCAGAGGAAAGCCATTTAATTAGAGATACTAGCAAAGCTTGCTTGGCCATAATGCGAGATTAGGCTGTAATGGCAATAGTTACTAAATCGAAATTAGGTTCGGACAGAGCAAGTGTTTGATCAAAGAATATTCTCATTAAGAAACTACCCGAAGACCATGATTTTCTGAGCTAACTATGCATCCTGACTCCATGCGTCCAGAGGCATTGGCTGAAGTAATACCTCGACCAATATCCCAAGCCAGCATCACCAGGGAAACCCAACCCCATATTACTCCTTCACTCCATCCCAAACACAATATTGACCTCCATTATATACCATCATGCCCGAATATCACAGGTGGAGCAGCGGCGGGCTCCGGAGCTGTTGAATGGGTATCAGGCATTTACTGCTCACCGAGACCAGCGGGGGTCTCGCAGAGAACGCTCTGGCCAAGCTGTTGTGGACATCATATCAGTATAATGGGCTTCTCGAGTGTGGCTTAAGGTGGACTTACGATAGGGAGGACGCAGCAGCGGGCGCGCTGGCCACCGTTGGCGCAGATGTCACGGAAATTGCTGGCGCTGTAGGGGACAGACGAAGCTAAAGCGTCAAGTTAGATTATGTGTTCTTTTACTGCTCGGCTCTCAATTGCTGATTGGAGTATCGAGAACGATGATGCTAGTGAGGGAGGCTACTCACGAGAGCCGCAGTTGAGGTCAGCGACGCCGAGGACATCGGTAGCACAGCACTGGGGAACGCTGTAGAGGCCGCTAGGGCAAGCGACGTAGGGCGAATTTCCGTCAGTGGGAGCACCAGAGACGGCGGTGGCGATGAAGCCGATGATAGCGACGATGGAGTACTGCATTTTGAAAATGGGAGTTGTTTTGGAAACAAAAAAGCGATTGATTTGAGTGAGAGTGAAGATTGAAGGCTTCCTGAGATTGCTGCTTGGGATGGTGAGTACAAGAAAAGAGTGTTCATTAAGGGTGATGTTGGCCTCCTTATATAGACATTTGGGAGTCAATATCTTGCTGGATATCTTGGTCGCAATCTGTTTTCCTGAATGAGGATCGCCACTACGCCTGTACGTACCGATTGCTTCTCAAGACGGCGACCTTGATGCATCTGCCTTGGCCATGCCTGAGTGGCTGACGAGGTGGCTTACTTTGTGCAGTTACACTATGCAAGCGGCATCCTCCAGTACATCAGATGCCGTGGTGAAGGATAGACATCACGATGGGTATCCCAATAGTTACTAGTTGGGCGAGGACCTTGGCTAGCCGCTGGCTAGAAGCTGCACGAGGTAAATTAGGCTGAGAGGATCTCTAGTCCCAACTACTACTGCGTATACATGTCCCCTCGTAGTATGCTTGAGAGTGATGCTACCGGCAGGGTAGGCTAGGTTCCTGCTGTCGAATCATGCCTAAGATCATACCCAAACCCCTGGGTTTCATGATTTACCGTATCTCGATGATTTTGCTGGAGAGGCCGAAGATCGATCTCGGCTGCATCCTTCACCTCTAATTTGCAATAATCCTACGCACCATCTCCACCGCCTAGACTCCCCGTCCTTGTTCCTCCCGGAGTATCCCACTACAGCAGTCGGCGGAAACAGCAATTTTTAAAGCGACGATGTGGATTCGCTGTTGCTTCTGCATCTTGGCATCCCGGGGGGTATCTACTTTGGGATAATAGAGACGAGTTGTGATTGGCAAGGTCGATTTGAATATACCAACCTAGATCGATGTAGAGGGGCCTAACGGTTACTAGTTCCTGTGCACGCAACATATGTAGTAGTATACAGCTGTATTGTTCATGTATCCTACTCTCGATAGAGTACCAGTTTGTGCGGCGCAAGGGAAATATGCTTAACTTGTTGCATGTATATATTAGGTACAATGCGCTACTGTAATTATAACAATCTTGCCTCCAACTGATATTTGACAACTCAAGCAATAAAAATTTATGAAGTATAGTGTAATTGCGAACTGGTATGGTAGCCATTACCAATGCAACTCCGTAATACGTATAATGTACATGTCAGACCATCTCAGTCAGGCCATCTCAGTTAGTCATCATTTCCTCTGTGCTGTTTGGTTTCACGTACGTAGTACAGTAGACGCCTGACGAAAGAAATGAATTACGTATTCTAAATGTATCCGCCATAGGGAGAGGAGCCGGTGCTTCTGGCGTGCGTCTCGTAACTAATCGCAACATAGGAATAGTGTCGACAGCCACCTTAGTTCCCTGCCCTGTTTTGGAGTCAAATTGGCCTGCGTTCGAGAAAGAGGATTTCGTCTTCAGCAATGTGGCGGGTCTCTTGGCATAAGTTTCCAGCATTAGTGTGCCTTAGCTCTCATTTCTGATTGAAGCGGTTGCCTCTCCTAAGCTTCCTGCTTTCTTGTTTTTGGAGATTCGGGCGCCTGCAGACGTTGAGTTGTCTCGCAGCGGCCTAGGGCTATACTATACGTACGCTCGATGGAGGCAACGATTCGACGGTACGCATGCACATTACCCCTGCATGGAAGAGGCGCTCCCCTCCAAGGATCATGATCCGGCCCCCGGTGATCTTCCCTATGAAGAACAGCCGGAATTTAGACCGGGATGAGAACGGGACT